AGCCTTATCGACCACAGCCTGCAGTTTGTTGTAAAATTCCTCTTTCTCATATGGCTCAGCGTTGTTCGTGCAAGCATAGCACTGTATGATTGTGATCTTTTGAATTTTAGCGTTAATTCTGGCTGTAAAAAAATAAAGCGAGGCTTGGTGGTTTGAATTTGCTTGTCTGGGCAGGTCTGATGTCTTCATGCATAACGGCTATTGTCGAAACCCTCGCGAGTTACCAATTCTAATCATGTCTAATTATCCAATAAAAAAGTTTTATTTTTTCCCAAGAGGACACGGTAACCAACCATGCAATCTCAATGGTTCTTAGCGCGGTCCGGAGTTTCCTATCTCTGACCACGCACGGTCACGGTAACGGGGGAAACAGCGCCGGTGATTTTGTCGTGTTGGTTAATTTTCGTGAGTGAACTAGCGGTAATCGTCAACCTTTGCTTTTTACATTTCCATCGACGATTAATCAACCAGGTTTATCTCTATTTCCTTTTAAATCGCAAGGAGAGTCACTGTAAGTAAATTCAATTGAGTATTTTGAAGTTGTCAGAGTTTGTTTGGTTGTTTGTAGCTCGGCGCTGTAATGGCGCGTAATCCTGTGTTTCTCTCGCCGCAAAAAAAAAAAGTCAATTGCAGTGGAGTTTACCTCTCTGATCGTTGCTGTCTTTAACAGAATTTCTGTGGAATACACTTAACGGATTTCCTCGCTTTCTGCTACTCAATTTACGATAGAAAGTCTGATTTTGACTGATTCGCAACGACTGATAGCATCGGGCTTGAAAATACTGTCCTCGGCCTGCGGCCTCGGGCAGCATTTTCAAGACCTCGGTCACAGTTTTTCACTATACAGACCTCCCAGCCGGCAAATAACACATATAACTTGAACACTCCATGGTATTCCGAAAATTGTCACGTGCTAGCAGAAGTCGTATTGCTGCAAGCTTTGGCAAGTGATACAGACTCTGAGCTCATTCAACTTGAAGAGACTGGATTGAAAAGGGTGCTTGATTTGCCGGCCTATGGACCTTGAAATGAACACAGAGACGAATAAGAACGTCTGGAGGAAGGATGAAGGAACGATAAAGGAACGATGAAGGAACGATGAAGCTTAAAATCTGTCCAGAGCAAAAGCTATAAAAGATCGATACGACATGTAATTTGTGACAATCCTGAGTTAGTAGCGGAGCTGGAGCGTACGAATCGTACTGGCGGATCACCACTGGTACGGATTTTTGGTACGGTTTAACCATCAAACCGAGAACATTTGATTGTGACCTCACCGCACAAGGGAACGATCGTGGAAACGAGCAAGCGTCCGTCCGTACAGACTCTGGGGAAGGGGGAAGGGGAGGGGAGTCTCAAAGTATCCCGAACGGGGAAGCTCACGGATGCCATCTTTGCTGGGCGGGATTTAAGAGATGTAAACTCATTTCTATTGCTGTGTTAACAAACGATAGCGGAGTTAAGTTGATAAAACGTTTTCAAGACAGGGTTTAACTAAAGCAGAACGTGAAAGAGAACGTCTGAGAGCAAGAATTAACCAGCAAAGAAGAAGCCAAGGAGATTGCAAAGAGAGCGGGCCAGGGCTAGAGAAAGAAAGCGAAATAGTACTGAATTATACCGTGAAGTAGAGCGAGTCGAGTCAGGGCTAGAGAAAGGATATGAAACATATCAAACTTTGCCTATTGTTATGGTTTAAATTTTTTAAGACAATAAGCTTTTTGTTATTTGCGCGAAGAAGGGAAATATATTGAAACTTCGACAGCCCGCGCGTCATGAAGCAAATTTTCTCTTCCGTAGCCCCGGTAAAATTGTCGTTGTTCTGAGCGAAATTTCCCTAACCCCACCCCGAGAAGGGTGATATTGCCAACATCTGGTCGTCAACAAAGATTTTGAATCTCGCGCTCGCAAATTTGCTACGCGTCGGTTCTTTCAAACTTTTGTTCTAGAAACAAAAGAGCCTCAAAGCTGCAAACAATAAAAATGTCCACAAAAGCAAGAAGCAAATTTTCCCTTCCGTACCCCCGGTAAAATTGTCGTTGTTCTGAGCGAAATTTCCCTTACCCTATCCCGAGAAGGGTGATATTGTCAACATCTGGTTGTCAACGAAGATTTTGAATCTCGCGCTCGCAAATTTGCTACG